AAAAAAAAAAAAAGCAAGTCGTAGAACAATGCAAACAGCACCATACTATTCTATGTTAAGGAGGTAAGTGAATAAATAAAACCATCTACTTCTATGTGCGCATAGACACATGTGTAGAAAGCCTAGGAAAGTCTTCCAAGTCTACACACCATAATAATCAGTTCTGGATTGGACCGTAGGAAATAGGCAAAGGAATTTTTTAACTTAATTTAAATATTTAAATGTTTGACAATGAAACTCTCTTCATGTGTTATTTATGTAATTAAAAATAGTTATGTTGAATCTCAACAATGGATATATAATGGTTCATTAAGCTAATATCTCAAATATATGTTTAAAACTTTTAATAATAAATGTTTTAACTACATAAATTGCCTTGGAAAAGGCACGTTTCTGAAGGCCTCTAATAAAATGCTAAAAATTACAATATTTTAAAAGTGGTCTTTGGATCGTCTTAGCAGCATATGGAGGAAATATTAGTTATCTTTGGATCCTCTTGGCAGCATATGGAGGAAACATTAGCCTCTACCTGCCGGGGGAACTGAGACTCAGAAAGAAAAGCAAAGTAACATGCCCAGAGTGAGGAAAAAGAGGACACTGGTGGTGCTGGAGCCCCTTAGCCCCAGGCGGCAGGCAGCACCCAGGACTGAAGGAAAGGTGCCAGAAGATACCATCAGAGGGAAAAAATGGGGTGGGGTTGGTTTCTGGGAAGACAGAAATAAACGGCTCTTCCCACCATGCGGAGAGAGAGTGGGTGCTCACAGCCCCCAACAAGCCCACCAGCAAAGAAGGAAAGGGTGAGGGGAGGCTGAGAAAGGGCAGAAGTCAGGGGTTGCAGCTGGGACAGCAAAGCCTTAATACACTAATCTTCATTTATTCACCCATTCGAAAAGCATTTATTAAGGACATCTTATGTGAGACGCCAAGCATCCCAGGGAATCCACTATGGGCAAGATAGACTCCATCCCCACCCTCAAGGGGAACATGCTACTAGAAAAGGGAGTATGTAAGTCCCTGTAATGCTGACAGGAAAAAAAGGGGAACAGAAGGTGACTGAAAGGGAGAAGAATCAGGACAGATAAGCCTGAGGCACTGGCCTAAACCTCCCTGGCTACAAGACTACTATCAACTCCCTGGTGGCAGGCTGAGAACATTTTATAGCTCATCCAGTTTCTCTCTTTGCTTTGGCCACCAGGGAGCTCAGTGTACAGCTCAGCACTCAGTGGCAGCAGTCTTCCCTGGGTTTCCTCTCTTCTGATCAACAGTGTGGAGTTTTCACAATCTTTGACTTTTTCCTGCATGTAACAAAAACCCTTTAGAGAGTCTGTAGTTTAAATAAATAAATGAATAAAAATTAAAATGACTTTCTCCCATGAGAAAAGTTGAGGGCCCGAGCTAGACCATCACCTGCAAAGAGCAATGTTTAGCGCCCCATGGCATATCAGCAGGATGGCATCCAGTAATTCCTGAGCCCATCATTTCTGTACCTCATTAGACCCTAATGGGATGTGTACTGAGTCCAAAAACTCCAGGGAGGACACATCTTACAGATTATTCACAACAGATTTGCTGGGCAGCGAAACACCATCTCAGATTTGATCTCCCTGCCCCTCTCCAGCCCATTTAAGAGAGAAACCACAACACTGAGAGCCAAATGGGGTGGTTCATGGTAGTGATGACGACAGTTGCCATGTGTTGGCCTCACCCAGCTGTCTGACAGATTCTCTGGCCTTCTTTCCATTGCTCCAGTGTGTCAAACTCATTCCCATCTCAGGCTTTTGCCCTTGCCCTGCTCCAAATCTTTTGTCACCACGTAGGCCGCAGGTCAAAGATTACCTCCCTGCTTATCCATTCTGAAGTTGCCTGTCCCCAGGCACTTTTGATCCAATTACCTTCTTCTATTTTATTTTCATAGCATTTTCCATCTTAAATTACCTTATTTGGAGCATTGGCCTACATCTGTCTTGTTCACCACTGTACCCTGGTGCCAAAGACAATGCCTGGCATGTGGTCAGTGCTCAAAGCTATCTGCAGAACAAAGGAAGAGAGGCGTGCTTGCTATGTGGTGCTAATGCTAAGTGCTTTCTGCGGTGATAGCAGTGTCCCTGTGTGGCCTGGCTCCCACCGGACCCTCTGCAATCCCTGTCTGCACGGCAGCATACCTTCGTAGGCCTCCTCTGTGTATGCAGCGTTGATGAACCTGTCCAGGATGTCGTTCTCTTCAGCAAAAGCCAGCAGGATCCGCACGATCTCCTTGGTGTTGGGGTTGATGTTTAACAAGGCCTTCATCAGGCAGGTCTTCCCCGTGTCAGAGGCCGTCAGCTTGTGCATAAGGAAGTCTGCGGGGAGGGAAACAGAATGAGCTGCAGGAGGGGCCTGTCTGCTCCTGGCGGGGTTGGGGGGGGGCAGGGTGTGGGGGCTGCAGGCTCAAACCTCTAGACCCTGCTCCAGGCCCTCCCCTGATGCACACTCCCCTCCTCCCTCTCCAGCTACTCCTCCCCCAAGGCCCCAGAGAGGCTTATCTGAGGCCTTTTGCTCTTTGCTTTCTGTACCCTCTCCCTTACAGGGGACAACCTCACCCACTGCGTGGCTTTCCACTGTCCACTTCAGTGCTGACACCCTGAAATCTCCAGCCTGCCTCCTCCTGGTAGCCTACAAATAAAGCTCATCACCTCCCCCTAACAAGCTACTCCCCAAGCTAACAGCTTGGGCCCCACCATCCACCAAGTCACCAATGGCACCACCCTAGACTCCTCCCTTTCTCTCGCCCTCCTTGTCCTTGAGTCCAGCCAATTCCACTGCTGAAGAGCTGGTCACCTTCCCCCACTCAGATGCTGCGGTCCCCACCTCGCCTGAATAGCTTCCTTCCCATCCGCCATGCAGGAGCCAGACCACGACGTTTACCTGTTTAAGCCCTTTCATGGCTCCCCATTGCCCTCAGAGTCAGGTTCAAAGTCCCCAGCCCAGCATTCTGGGCTCCTCACACGCCCTCCTCACAGGCTGTCATGGGGGAAGGTTGACAGCAGGAGGCATGCAGGGCCCCCAGCCCTGTACCGTCTCTGCCGGAGCCAGGCACTGACCAGCCACTTCCAGGCCACGACGTCGCTTGCAAAGCTCCTGCAACTCCACCAGCAGCTCCAGCAGCTCCTCCACGCTGCCCTCTGACACGGCTGCAAAGATGCGCTTCTTCAGCCGCCTCTTTTTTCGCCTCTGCTCTTCCTTGGCCAGGTTTGCACTGAGGCCAGAAAGTGTTTCCAACTCACCACGCATGCATCCCCACCCCCACTCACTCCCCTTCCCCGACCAGAGCCACGATGCCTGCAGGGTGCTGCAAAGCCCAGAACCCCCCTCCATTAGTGCTCCGGGCCCCTGGGATCCGTGTCGCCCTATGCAGGCTTCCCTCCTAATCCAAATGCAATCACATTTTTTCAGAATATACGCTTGGGGGCTCCCAGGTGGCTCAGTCGGTTAAATATCTGACACTTGATTTTGGCTCAGTCATGATCTCACGGTTCATGGGATGGAGCCCTGCATCCAGCTCTGCACTGACGGTGTGGTACCTGCTTCAGATTCTGTGTCTCCCTCTCTCTCTGCCCCTCCCCCGCACACTCTCTATTTCTCTTTCTCAAAATAAGTAAGCTTATATATATATATATATATATACACACACACACACACACACACACACACTCATATATTTAGATACACATAGTAAAGGTGATTAGGAAGAACTATTAATGGTGATTACCTAAAAAAGTATGAGAGTAGAGGAAGGAAAATCCCACTTTCATCTTTTGTGGTGTCTGAATTGTTTAAATCTATCTCTCTGGGCCCCCACATTCCGAATAGGCAACCATAGTAACGCACATTCTTTTGTTTGTGTGTGTTCTTGCAGAAATGCATATGATGTTTCATGGTTTATATGCATATATTTTTAAGTTACGTAGATGGGATTGTGTTAAAGTTCTCATTCTGCTTCATACTGTGGCTTGAATGCTTCACAATGAATGGGTAATACTTTTTATAGTTTATAAAATGTAGTACTCCCCTCCCCCCACAAAAATGCCTACATGCCGCAGCCACAGGCCCAGACATTCGTCCCAGCCCCCAGGAAGGGAGGCTTCTTTCTCTCTCCTGGGTCCTGGTGCCCGTGCCCCTGACACCCACCTGGTGAACACCGTGGGATGAGAGGAAGGGCCAAGCTCACCTGGGACTGTTGGGATTGGACGGCGTCTCTGTCACGTCGTCCTGAGGGGACTGCGGAGAGTCCATGTCATCACAGTTGCCAGAGAGGCTGGAGGGTGGGGGAAAGGAAGAGGGACACAGGAGTTTAAAACTGGACAATGGTAGCATGCCGCAACCGGGCCTGGCCACGTGGCCCAGAATGAGTCACTGCCCCCGCCCCCTGGAACTGAGGGCTGGGTTGGCAGGGGGTGGGGATGGCTGGGCAGGGGGGCCGGGACTCACCACTGCCGGATGTTGGAGTCCATAGGCTTGGAGAAGACGGGGGGAGAGGTCTTGGAGACTGTGGGGTTGGGATCAAACCCTTCTATCTCCAGGAAGAAGTGTGCACTGTGGGGACACCCAAGCAAGGCCATCAGAGCTGGGGCAGAGATTGTTCACCTGTGTGTCCTGCAACCCTGCTTCCAAGAGTGCCCAGCCACACAGAGCACTCGCTCTCGGCCAGCTCTGTGCTGGACCCCATCCCTCATGGCCTCACTCTTCCCTCACAGCAGCCCTTGAGGATGGGTACCATCCCAATCATCCACATTCCACAGGGGGGCCTGAGGAGGCTCTGAGGTCAAGCGACTTGCCCAAGCTCACACAGCAGGCAGGCGGCAGAGCCAAGATTCAAAGCTGGGTTTGGGTGACTCTTGTCACTAAAAATACTGAGTAGATGAACACAGGGGTCTCTACCGGGGTGGCCTAACATCTTAGGGGACTTGCCTGTCTGCAGGTGCAAAGGACCCACCAGCGTTGGTGAACATGGCAACAAGAACCACAATTTCCCATCATGCCCCCCAACTGCCCCTCTGGCCTCAGATCTGAAGAGCCCTACCAGGGAGAGGTCCCTAGATGCTGACATCTACAAGGGCCTTTCCTGGCTGCCAGGGCACAGTCCCCACCCCCACATTCAACCCCCTTTGACCACCTCTCATATTGTTTTGTTGGCACAGAAAATAGATCTAGAGCAGTGAGTGGATATAAAAGTTCCAGGTATAGGGCTAAGAACCCCTTGTGGAGAAGGAAAAGTCAGGAAAGCACTTTGGACAGTGGAGGCAAGGAGCAGTAGAGGGGCAAGTGAAGGGCATGCTTTCTCCCAGGGCTGGAAGAGAGACTTGGGTGCAGGGTCTGTGACCTGGATAAGCCCCAAGGAAAGGGACAGACTTACTGCCCCATGAGAGGCAAGACACAGACCCAAGATAGGACTCCCTAACCAGACATAGCCCGGCCTCACCTTTAGACACGCCCACAAACACAGACACGCCCACTCTCGGAACCCACAGTCACACACTCAGGGACAAGCCTTGTCATGACATCCAGAGTAGTGAGGATCAGGCTGGCGGTCAGTTGTAGCAATACTCCCCACGCCGTGGCTGCTGCAGCACACCTGCTGGCTCGGTGACCTCACCTGGGAACGATGGCCTTTTGCCACCTGGCCTCTCTCCTCAGTGCCTTTGCTGCCTGCCTCTTTCAGGCCCAGAAGGATCAACACACTCCCTCCTTTTCTCACAAGACCACAGAAGAGCTCCCAAGGTATGATTCCAGCCATATCAAGTTCAGAAGGAAGGACATCAGGGAAGGGATCATGGCCCCATTCTACAGATGAGGGAACTGAGGCTCAGGCTGGAGCAGCAGCTCATCCATAGTCGCCCCACCAGGCTAGAAGCCAAGTTGGTCAGAGAACCTGACTCCTGATTCCAGCCTCAAAGTTTATACCACTATCCACACTGCTCTCCCCTCAGCCCTCTGGATCTTCCAGCCAAAGCAGCTCTAGGGATTAGCTGCAGGTGGAAACTGCCCAACATAGGCACTTCCCAGGATGGGGCAGACAGGAGGGAGACTTGGGTCTTGCCTGGAGAATTCCTCTCCTCTCCAGGCACACACAAACCTGGAAGTCTCAGAACAAATCCAGTACTTGGGTGGGGACAGAAATGCGGTGGGAGACAGGGTTGGCTAGCACATTGGGCCTCACCCTCCTATCTTCTGCCCATCAGAGGAACGTTCTGATCTGACCTGAAATCAAATCCTTCTTCCAAAAGAGAAGTAAACCCCTGATGGGGAGTCCAAAATCTGGGTTCTAGTCTGCCTCGGTCTCTGCCTCTACCTCCTGTATGCCCCCAGGATGGAGAATAGTTGGGCCAGATAATCCCTAAGGCCTGGACTCTGGAGCCAGGACAGCTCTAAAATCGTCCACGAATGGACTGTGCAGCTGAAGTGGGCATCAGAGGCCATCCAGTCTGATCACCACTCTTGGCATCCCTGGAGTGCCCCAGAAATGCCACCCTAAAGCTGTCCCTGCTTGCCTGGGCTCCTCAGTAGTGCATCTACTCGATAAACGTTTATTGAGCACCGACAGTGTATCAGGCACTGTTCTAGGAGCTGGAGATTAAACGGTGGGCAAAGATCGCTCTGAAGAGCTACTGTTCTAGTGAATTGGTCAGAACTGGCCCCACGGATCGGACCAGGGCATAGCACAATGAGGCCATTTCTTTTCCTGCTCCAGACAACACACTGACCTTCAGCTGTAAGATCCTCAGTGGGAGGAACTACAACTGCAATGTCCTTGATTCTCCAGAACCCAGCACTAGCTCTGACACTCAGAAGACTTAACAGAGGAGCAGAACATGGACAGGTAACATATGAAAGATAAATGCGAGGAAGGAAAAATGGCTGGTCAGATAGATGGACAGATTAGTTGGATGGGTGAATAAGGTGGATAGATGGGTAGATGGTGCACGAATGCATGAATACAGGGAAGGCTAGATGAATGGATGCATGGATGGCTGAGGAATGAGTACTTGGGTGGGCAGATCAGTGGGTAGATGCAGAGACTGGTAGACTGGCCCAATAAGCAGGGAGGATTAAACCTTAAACCTTAAATGTTGGGAGGTTGCATCCCTCAAGTGACTCCTGTTGGGCTCTCGTTGCCCAAAGCTTTCTTCTCTTTTTCTCGGTCTTGCACATGAAGCTAAGGAAGGGTCCCCTGCCTCTCCTCTACCTCTCCTCCTTCTCAGGGCCTCCTCCCAGAGTCCAAAGGGGCCTCAAGGATGGAGCAGAAAATCAGATCATGACAGCATCTATCTACTCCAGGCCTGGAAAACAAGGCCCCCAGGGAGGGGAAGAAATATTTCCTTATCCTACTGTGAAGTGTCCTCCCTCATGCCGAGGAACTGTGCTAAGCCACCAGGACACTTAATCATCAACTTACCCCCTCTGTCTCTTGTTGTCTCACCTGCTCCTTCACTGACTCACCCACTTACTTAAAAACTACTAGGGGCGCCTGGGTGGCTCAGTCGGTTACGCGGCCATCTTTGGCTCAGGTCATGATCTCACGGTTCGTGAGTTTGAGCCCCGCGTCGGGCTCCGTGCTGACAGCTCAGAACCTGGAGCTGCTTTGATTCTGTGTCTCCTTCTCTCTCTGCCCCTCTGCCTCTGGAGCTCTGTCTCTGTCTCTCTCTCTCTCTCAAAAATAAATAAAAATTAAAACAATTTAAAAAAAAACTACTAATATGCTCAGTGCAGGAAACCTGGGGAGCAGGGAAGGAAGAGATGACCCTTCTATGGATCCTGTCCTCAGAGATTTCAACCAAAGCTAGGACATCATCCCAATAGGCACCTCAGTCTCTTTAGGGAGGAGCTGGGCTATGGGATCTCAGGGGAAGAGAAGGTTCTTCAGTTGAGGGCAGGGACAAGAATAGGCTTTGTGCTCTGTCACTGTGGGACTTGCTCTGGATCTTGGAGCAGATCTGTAGCTTGGAAAAATCCCCAGAAGCAGAGAGCACAACATGAGAAAAGCTTCCATGGCAGGAAGGCAAGGACTATGTCTGAGGAAGGAAGTCTTTGGTGGCAGGGAACAAGAGTGTTGAGAGCTGGGCTGGAGAGATAACTGACTGTGAGCAAGGACCCAATTCCTGGGATGGGGAGCTGCTAGATCATGAGGGCCATCCCACACCTGCCCTATTTGCCACTGCACATGTCACATCTCACCTGCCATCATGACAGATGGTGAAGTCTTGGCCATGTGCCATACTAGCTCCTAATATGCAGCATATGCTGTTTGTTTGTTCCTACCTTTGATCCAGACCAGAGGGCACCACAAGTGTGTTGTTAACTCAGGTGAGCATACAGCTCTGCACCATGTCTCCTGCATTTCTGTCCCTTTTGAAGATAATGAACTGCCCCTGAGCTGGGAAGGAGCTTGTGTGGCCAACCACTTTGTCCCAAGAAATGCCCAAGGGCCCTGGTCTCCAAAAGACCCATTCCTCCATACCCTTCATCAGCCTGGGCCTCTATCCCAGGGTGTCACCTTGCCCAGGATTCAGTAAGGAGGCCATAGTGGTAGCTGTTCATGAGAAATAGCATGATAGTTGAGGAAAAGCTCCAGGTCCAAAAAAATTTCTCCCCACCTAGACCTCTTGGTGTCTTCAATCCCACCATTAGTACAGATTCACTTACTGATCAAACTGGCCTTCTTTATTTACATAGAATTTTTATTATTCTTTCTAGGCTAAGTCTTATACTCAGTTTTGAGGGAGATGCTCAAACCTTCGGGGTATGGGGAGAAATAGGCACGTGAGGGCCCTCAAAGAGCTCTTGGGAAGAAGGGGCTACCATTTCAGGAGACAACAGCCACACCGCACACCCAGGCCTTTGGCTTTTGAGGCCATAGGTAGAGCTGGGTCTACAGCTAAGTCATGAACAGGGATAGGCTCAGAAAAGGCAGTTTGGCTGTGGAAAGATCCTGGGATTTTCCTGAAACCCTGTCTGGAATCCTTCCCTGAGGTCCCAACCTCCCCTAGGAATGTGAGAGGGGGAAAGGGAAAGAGGCAGGAGGGTGGTATTTGGTGGCTTAGCTCAGGGATACCTCCGCCCTTACCTAGACAAGCAAGCCCACCCAGGTCCAGGCTGTCCCCACAGTCCTGCCAATACCTGTCTGAACTCAGTGTCCACTCAGTTTTCTCTCCTACAGTCCAGGATGGAGCCTCCACCTGGATGTCCCTCGGACACTTCTCAGCCAAAATTCACATCTGAATTTGGCTTGTCTCTCCTCATCTTGCTCTTTCTCCTGACATGAGCATGTCAGAGATGGCCCCATCATCCCTGCAGGTCCCCCCACCAGATGAAGGGGATGTCTCTTGGTCCTCCTTGTCCCCAACTTCTTATAGCTGATCCTGCAGACCCCACGATCCTGATACCTTCCTGACCCGACTCCCTCTTCTCCATCCCTGATCACCCAGGTTCAGACCTCACCACCTGTCACTCAGGCTTCCCAAGAGCTTTGTCATCTCCCTGCTCACAGCCTCCCCTCCAAACCATCATCCACACAGATCACCCAGAGTATCATTTCCAAAATGAAAATCTCACCATGCCCTCCCTCTCACACAAAATCCCTTTAGGCTCTACACCGCCCTCAGGTTTGTCTAAACTTCTTAACCAATCCCCAAGACCCAGCTCCAGTGATACTCATGTTCCCCAAAATTCCTCCACCCACCAAGCACTTCAGCTCTACTACAGTCCCTCACTGGTCTCCACCCCTAGCCTCTTTCTGGGATGCTCTTTCCCTTCTTTTCCACCTGCCATCAGCCATTTCAAACCACTTCATCCAGGAAGTGCCCTGAGACTTTCCACGGGATCAGAACGACCCACCCCTTCTCAGACCCCATCCTGCCTGGTTGTCACATTCCCACATTCTTCTGGGTGCCTTTCTCACCAGACTATGAGCAGGGATGGGCATTCTTTCTGTGTCCCCACCCTGGGCCCTGGTGCATAAAATCTTCAGTGATTATTACTCAAAACAACAGACAGAAAGGAAAGCACCAACTTCACATCTGGCCCAAGAGGGGGCCTGGAATGGACACAGAGGAGGCAGGACAAATGAGCTGAACTAGACCTGGAGCTCACCGGGGTCTAGTGAAAGCACAGCTTGTGGGGAGGAGGGCCATTCGGGCTTGAGGGGCACCAAATCAGCTGAGGGTGTGGGGGACTGCCATGGAGGCATCTCAGGGGCCAGGGATGACCCTGGAGAAGTACTTTCCTTGCTCCTGCTTCTTCCACATCCCCATCTGGGAAGTAGTCATAGCCATCCCAGCCCCATCCAGTTCCCAGGGGTTCTTTGGAATAATAATAACAATGACAATGATGAAGATGAATCTCCAAGTAACAAAAACACTATCAACACTAGCATGTGCAGGGCACTGACTATGTGCCAGGCACAGAGCATTATGCCAACAACCTCAATTAACCATCATCCTATGAGTTGGTGCCTTTGCTGGTGTCCCCATTACACAGGTGGCATTAAAGGGCTTGAATAAGCTGTGGCTCAGCACCCAGTGGACAGGAAAGTAGTTGGTGTAGGTAAAAAAAAAAAGTACCCACTTGGGGATCCAGACTACCTGAAATTTCCATGTACTTTCTTGCTCCTTGTTTCAAGGATGGCTCCAGAAATCCCTTGTTTCACCCAGAAGCCTTCCTGAATATTTCTGCATCAGTGCCTCTGATACCTCCAGGGAGACCTCCCTGATTATTCTGGTTGTACTGACTTCCCCAGCTCAGCCCCCTGAGTATGCAGTGCTATTTCCCCACCCTCCCCCCCATTTATACCTAGTTGGACACCAAGTCACCCCAGATGAACTGAGAGTCTTAGGTCTACCCCAGGCAAGTGATCCCTGAGGATGGACACCAGGATCCTTCCTGTGCCTTTACAACACAGTGACCAAGCCCTCCAGCCCTACCTCTTCTTGGTTGGCGTAATCTCTGCTGACCTCTTCTCCTGCAGGATGGCAGGGTTCCCACTGGGGACAGCAGCTCTTCTGCCCATGAGGGGCACCATCTCCTTAGTGTGGACATTCATGACTGGAACACAATCACAGCACAGATGCTTAGGTTGAGTAGGCATGGAGGAGCTTCAGGGGGCTTCAGACCCCCATGTGTCACCATGTGGCCCCTGATCATACCCCAGGATAAGGATCTCACTCTCCACCTTCCCAGGCTGCCAACTCTTCCCAGGGACAGGGAGATTGTCCCCGCAATTTCTCCTGCTCCCTACTCCAGCATCCCTGCTCCTGTGCATCCTAGGAGAGCCCAACAGAGCTTCTAGGTAGAGACCACCATGCCCTTAGCTTCTCTCAAGACATCATCTCCAGCCATCAATATTCAGGTGGAATCCCAAGAATTAGCTCTGCTTTTTCTAATGTCCTTATCAGATTTTGTGTTCAGAGCTATCCTCAACAGAATAAGACTATCACGTCCTTTACTCTAGACACTATGCTCATAGTAATACAGCCTCCAGCCTCTCTGGTGTTTTGGATTTCTTAGCACCCTGGTGGTCTCTGTAGCTAACACACTGATTATCTTTGTGTCATCCACCCAGACCTGAGTGCAACCGGCCTTGTAGCTATCTGTCCATTGGACTCCCTTCTCACCTGAAGGGAGCAGTGGAGCCCCCTCCCCAATGCAGAGGAGGCAGCCCCTCAGTCTTGAACTGTTTTACTGATGTTCATACTGATGGAGCTGGATGCCATGTTGGCATCCCTCTGAGGGATATGCTAAAGAGAGGGACTGGCATGTCTTTTGAGGACACTAAGGGGACCTTAGAGGTTTCTGTGTATAGGAAAGCCTGAATAAAGACCAGGGCTCAAGAAAGTTAGCAAGTGGCAAGAAGCTGGTGTGGTTGCAGAACCTGGGGAGTTCATGGGGACCGCTGGCAGGGAGAGGCTCAGAAGTAGGTGGGGCCATGTTGTATGGGCCTGGAACATCAGTCAGGAGCTGCGGCTGGTCTCAAGGGCAGTGGGGCATAGGAGGGCCCTGGGTTACATAGGAGACAGCCATGTTAGAGGAAGGTGGAGTGGAGGATGGAGGAGGCCAGGCCATGGGGCTGGGAGGAGGCTGCCATGGAGGCCATTGGCATGGGTAAGCATAGGCTGGCCATGTAGGATGAGATGGACAGGGCAAAGGGTTGTGTGGACAGGAGGTGACTCTACAGTAAATGGGGGGGGGGCATTCTCAACAATGGGGGGGGCATTCTCAACTTGAACAGCCCTCAGAGAACTCCCTCAGAGTCATGGAGGTGGGGGCAGAGGACAAATTTCTATAGGAAGAGTCCAGGTGGGTGAGATGGAGCCGGGGCCACTGGTAACCTTGGTCCAAATAGGAAAAGTTCCTGGAAAAAGTGTCCAGAGCAGTTTGCCATCAGACCGCAGTGAGGTTGGGAAATGGGACAGGCATCCCCCCCCAAAATTAGCAGCCCTGGGAAAGGAGGAGTTATCCAGGGGAGGGCTTTGGTGTTGGAATGCAGGTACCTTGGGGCAAGGACCTTTGAAGAGGGGCCTTAAGGCCAGGTGGGTGGAGTATCCTACTGAGAGAGAATCATGATCATGTGGGTCCCTGACTGTATCCACAGTTACAGGATGAGGCTGGGTGGCCTTTACCACCTTCCTCAGCCCACAGTGGCCTGTGGCCAGATACGGCTAAAAGGTTGAGCTAAACCAAGAGTGAAGGAGAGGGATGGAGGGCATGTCTCTTACCCCTCTCTGGGCCTCTGTTTTCTCTTCTGATAAATGGGCTGATTGGACCCCAAGGACCCTATGGCTCTCACCTATGACAGCTGGCTGCTCCCTCCTCCCTGCCGTGGGCCCATGAGTTGGGGAAGTTCTGGGAAGCTGGGCAGGAGAGGGTCAAGAAAACTCTGGTCTGAAGCTATAATTAGCAGTGATAATTAGCTCCCTGAGTCACCCCACAAACCCTGCATTCTCACCTGTGGGACTCTCTCGCTGCCTTGCCCTCCCTGTCTCTGCGATTGGGCTTCCTCACCTGGGAAGTGCCTCCCAAGTCCTGATACTGACTGGAATGGCCTTCTCTGGAAGACAGACCAGGCCTGGGGGCCACGGGGAGCCCCTGCAGCTGCTGGCTCGGCACCTGTGAGTTGCCTGGGCCTTGTCTCTCTCAAGCTCTGGGCTACCTCATCTCATCCTTACCCCCTTACACTCCTGCCCTGGAAAGCCACATCCCTGGGGCCTGCTGGTGGGGACAAGAACCTCACTTCTGCCCCTTGGAGGGTGTGAGCCTTTCCCCCTCTTCAAGATCTCCAAACCTCAGGGAAGTTTCCTGGGTCCATCAGAACCTGTGCTCTGGCACACTCCCTGGGCCAAGAGCTCACGTCTAACTTTGTTTCTCCTGCTAGAGATCCAAGCTTCTTCCCACCCCCTCCCCCAAAGCCTATCAGCAAAGGGTGGATGTGACCTAAAGGACCCCTTAGGTCTTTGCCCTAGGGTCCCCTAGGACCTTGGAGGGCACTGGTCGCCATGTGTGGTGAGGACTCACCTGGTAAGGTCCGGGTGGTGGTGGCTGCCCTTGCTCTGAGATCACCGCATGTCCCAGGCCCAAGGACCCCCAGAGGGACTATGGCTGAGGCGGCGGGAGGCTCTCATCATAGGCAGGGAGATGGCTGAAATGAGGCGTCGGAGGCAGAACTGGCTGGGCCACCTGCCCTAGGCGCCAAGCAGGCCACACCCACCAGCCATAGCTGCAGCGCCCGCCCACCCACATGCCCTGCCTGAGTCACCCCCACACCCACACAGCAGCCCAACCTGGAAGAAGGCAGGGGAGGCAGCAGGTGCCAAGGCTGAAGTTCTGGACCCAACTCTTTTCTCTCTTGTATTTGGTGTATCATGAGCCTCGGTTTCCCCAACTGAGAAATGGGAATTATAATACCTATTTCCCATGGATGCTGTGAAGAGTCAAAGAGATCATGCTGGTGAGAGAGGCTAATGAATGGTCAAGTGCTCTGCCCTGAGCTCTGGGAGGAAAGGTCACAGCCAAGCACTGGCCTGGTTGATCCAAAGGTGGCCAGGCCCGAGACTTGGTATCTGTCCGTCAAAGTCTGGGATCAGACCTTTCCAAAGACAAAGGAAGTCCCCCACTCAAAGCTTACAACCAGATATTATGCACTTCAGACCTTGGCGCCAGACAGCCTCACCCCTTTCTGGCTATATGACCTTGAGCCAGTCATTCCCCCCGTTTCCCACCTGTGAAATGTGCATAATAAATCCACCTTGCAGAATTACTTGAGAAAACACACAGAAAGGACTTGAACAAGGCCCAGAGCACAGAAAGAACTCAAGAAACAGTAACAGCTATTAATTCATATTGGCTTTGTCATCCCAGTTGATTCTCCTGGACCACCTGGGCCACCTGCCAACAGGCCAGACCATGGGGAAGACTCTGCCCCCCTCCTCACCCAGGCTGCAGCTGTGAAGGGGGTGGAGCAAGGCTGGGGCAGCCATGGCTGTCTCTTGTCACTCAGGAATTGCATACCTGTTCCCGCTGGCAAGACAGGACTGGGAGGGAGCAGGAAGTGTTGCTGACAGGGATGTGACACCCGTGACTGATGCAGCAGGGATTTCCCCAACTGTCATCTGGGGCAAGGCCCTCTGGCTCTCATCACCACAACCGGCCAGGCCTGGAGAGAGGCAGGAAGCAGGCTCAGGCTTCTGACCACGGGGCAGCAGGACCTGTGGCCGGTAAGGGGCAGGAAATCTGGCTTTGGGGCCAAGAGGCTTTAGTGTGGGTGAAGTAGGGTCCCCGCTCTTGCAGTTTGACATCAAGGGGGGCCCGGTTCCCACAAACATTGCCTGAAACTCCTTCATGAAAGCCTGATCTTGGATCAATCATCGTCTTCCCTCTAAGATTCAATTAATTGCCCCTCTGACTCAGCCCCTTGTCCCTTTTAGCTTGCTTCTCACTGCCTCAGAACCCTAGGGGTGAAGCTGTTGCCAAATTTCAATGTTTACATTTTGCCTGGTGTTAGCACTTTTTCTCAAATACCAGGCTAGAGCTGCTCTAAAAGGCCCCTGTCCTCCACCCAAATACACTCACTGTGCCCAGCAAGGAGTAAGGGGAGCCTCCTCTGCTGTGCATGGAGCAGGGAGCAGGTCAACGACAGAGTCAGAGCCACTACCCCCCACACTCCTACCCCAGATCCAAGGAAACAGCAGCTCCTGCCATTTGAGCTGGTTTGCATTCAATCCCGTTGAAACCAACACATTGTGAGAGCCCACAGTAGGAGATAAGGCAGGGAAACAGGGGCCAGTGTAGGATTCAGAACTGGAGAAAGCAGTCTCCACCCTCAAGAAACTGTGGGCCACACAGGAGACAGGCTCAGGCAGGAACCATGGCCCCACTAGGCAGGTCATAAGGACAAAAAGGGCTGAGGTCACTGAGGGGGAAGGAAATCCCTCCCATGGGGAAGTCAGGGATGGGCTCAGGGAAGCGAGAGCATTTGGGCTGAACTTGGAAGGAGGGAGGACTGCCTACACAGGAAGAACAACAGGAGCAGGACTGGGAGGCAAGAGATCCAGGCACTTTCAAGGAGTGGTGATGAGCTTGGGTGACACACAAGCTCGGTGGGGTAGCAGACAGGAGCTGCAAGTCAGGCCCCAAGCCGCTGAGTCAGCCCTGACCCCTTAATCACAGAAGGCTGCGCTGGTCCAGCCTCAAGGGGGAAGGGGCCCTGTTGGGGATGCTGTCACCAGTGCGGTCAGGCAGGGAACTGACCCAGCTCAGCTGAGTCAGCACCCCAGACCAAAGACAACACCTCCGCCAGTGGAACCCCGGGCTGCACTTGCTGGGGCTGCAGGTGAGACGGATTCCCACCCGTGTTTGGGGCCCTCATAGAACAGTGGAGCCACGAGTCCTGCCTTCTTCTGCCAAGCCTGGAGCCCCTCAGAACCCAGTATTGCGCACTCAGCCTTGGACACCACATGGGTGACTTTTAGCACTCAGTCACAGCAGCACCGGGGCCTGGGAACCTGGAAGGACCAATAAACTGCCCTCCGCAATCCAGCTCCTCATTTC